GGGGGGGGGGGGGGGGGGCACACAGCAGCCTTTTCAAGTTGTGCTTGTTGCGGATGGCCTTGTGTTTTGTGAATTTGTTGTCAATGTTTTCCTGTCAACCGTGCATCCCACACCATGTAACACTCACCTCTCCCATCCTCCGTCACTCATTGCCCACGCCCCCCACGCTCCCCACCCCCCCACCCCAGGCGTTCTACAACGAGAAGGAGGCCCGCGACCTCTGCCGCATCCTGCTGGACGCCGTGCGGTACTGCCACGACCTCGGCATCGTCCACCGTGACCTCAAGCCCGAGAACCTGCTGCTCACCTCCCAGCACGACGATGCCAACGTCAAGCTCGCCGACTTCGGCTTCGCCCGCAGCATCATGGGCGGCTTCGTGTCGACGCAGTGCGGGACCCCCGGCTACGTGGCTCCCGAGATCCTCCGGGCGGAGTCATACGGCACTGTGAGTTTTTTTTTTTTTCTTGTGCCTGTGTTTTTTCGAAAGTGTTGGAATACCATCAACTAATGGTAGTGTTTGGTGTACTTGATCTAGACATGATGTGCGGGGCCACCGGACTTTTTGGGTGAGATAACCTTTTGACCACCCACACTTGTTTCGCCCGCAAGAAACCGACCAACCGACACACCTGTAGCGCTTTTCACCTACCGCTCTTCGCGGCGGAATCATCGCAATATAGCGTTTTGTTTTGTACACTACAGTCCGGTTATTAACCTCGCCTCTCTTAATGTTCGCTTATCTACCTTCGCTTTTTTTGCTCGGCCCCAACAATCCGTCCAACCAACAACCGACGGCTCTCACGGACAACGAACGAACGAACGTACCACCAGTCCGTGGACATGTGGAGCATCGGCGTAATCGTCTACATCCTCCTGGGCGGCTACCCTCCCTTCCACGACGAGAACCAGACGAGGCTCTTCCGGAAAATCAAGGCCGGCAATTTCAAGTTCCACCCGGAGTACTGGCAATCCACCTCTAGCGAAGCCAAGGTTGGTTGGTTGTTCGTTCTTGCTGTTGCGGGTTTGGTTGTGACACCGCCGTTGGTCGTGCTTTCAAGTCCCCGTCCTCAGCCTGGCAGGCGTTACAGCTAGGTTAGCTCTTTTAAGCAGCGAGAGCGCCCCGAGATGTCTCGGCCGGCTGCTTTTTTATCGTCTCTACGAGGGGTAGGAAGGGGGCTGTGAGGATGTAGGATGGTCTCTCCTCGCACGTGATAAGGGCTTCCGCCTCGCAGGGGGATGCGCGCGCTGGCCGAGCAAATCCACGGCGGCAAAAGCACCGACCAGCTGATCCCCTCCCCCCCACTCTCCTCGTTATCGCTTGGGCCGGCGAGAGAATTCCGGCATTGCAGGGACGCCAGAGGTCAATGGCCTATCGACTCCGCCATGCGTTTTACTTCCATGAGCAATGAGTTCACCCCCCAAAGTCTTCGTCTCGTTACTGTGTGCCTTGCTGGACCCACCCCCCCCACCGGCGAAAACCTCACCACGATGAATGCGAACGCGCACGCGAACACACGACCGAGAGCAGGACCTCATCCGCAGGCTGCTCACGGTGGACCCAAAAAAGAGACTCACCGCCGCCCAGGCGGTCACCCACCCGTGGCTGCTCAGCAAGGACGACGACCTCCTCAAGCACAACCTCGGGGTTAACCTGGAGCAGCTCAGGCTCTTCAACGCCCGCCGCAAGCTGCGCGCGGCGATCAAGTCGGTGAGTTGGGGTGGAGTGGGGCGCGTGAAGGGTGCTGCTGCTGCTGAAGTTGTGCGCGTGGGATGGGATGGATTGGGATGGAACTTGCTGTACGTAGTATGGTTTTGTGTGGTGGATGGGCTGGCTTGGAAAATGGGAACAATGTTGGTTTTGCTCTCATCGATTGGTTCTTCCAAGGTTGGTAAGGTGCTATGAATATGAAGGACACCCGTGGCCCCATCCTCGTCTCTCGATCGGGCGCCTATCCGTCCTTCTACTCACTTTGGTTGGTTCGGATGGGGAAGCGTGAGATGTCATGAGCGTTATCACCCCTTGCTGCCGCCGCAGTGTGTTGCGCGCTTCCAAAAACTACCGAAAATACACATGTTGGTCGATGCTGGTTCAACTTCCCGATATAGGGCCCCAGGTCGTGGCGAGGCAGAGAGAACGGCGGAGAGGTTTTGCATCGAGGCAATCTAAATGCTAACTTTGTCGGTGTCTGTGCTTGGTGTGGCCGGACTCGTGTCGTGCACCGCAGGTATTGGCGACGCAGATGATGGCGGGCAAGTTCAACATCGAGGCGCTGTAAACGTGGACTTGTTGTCTTGGTGCTTGAACTGGCCGGACCCTACACGTGGGGCGTAGATGGATAGATGGAGAGCGATACGGTTTGGAGCATCAATCCTGATCGGTGACGGGAGGTGGATAGACGCCTTGGCTGGCGGGGCGCGTGGGTCGGGGGGATACTTCTCTTCCACAAACAAATACACCCCTCGAGTCTCTTCCATCCCGTCTCCCCCCCCCCCCCC